TACTACATCACGGGTGAATCCATCAAGGCCGTGCAGAAATCACCCTTCCTTGACTCTCTCAAGGAGAAGAATTTCGAGGTCTTGTTCTTGGTTGACCCGATTGACGAATATGCCATGACTCAACTTAAAGAGTTTGATGGCAAGAAGCTCGTCGACATCACCAAGGACTTCGAGATGGAAGAGACCGAGGAGGAGAAGAAAGAGCGCGAAAAGGAGGAGAAGGAGTTTGAGGGTCTGGCCAAGAGCCTGAAGAACATCCTCGGCGATAAGGTTGAGAAGGTTGTTGTCTCTCACAAACTCGTCGGCTCTCCTTGCGCTATCCGAACCGGCCAATTCGGTTGGTCTGCCAACATGGAGCGTATCATGAAGGCACAGGCACTGCGCGATACTTCCATGTCTTCTTACATGTCCTCAAAGAAGACATTCGAGATTTCGCCAAAGTCACCCATCATTCGTGAGCTCAAGAAGAAGGTCGAGACTGATGGCGAGAACGACCGCACCGTCAAGTCTATCACTCAGCTTCTCTTTGAGACCTCTCTGCTCGTCTCCGGTTTCACCATTGAAGAGCCCGCCAGCTTTGCCGAGCGCATTCACAAGCTTGTGTCCCTTGGTCTGAATGTGGATGAAGAAGCAGAGACTGCCGAGGAGAAGGCCGCTGAAGAGGCCCCTACTGCTGAGGGAGCTGGCGAGAGCGCCATGGAAGAGGTCGACTAGACAGTTTCTCCCACGGCATAGATGTTCCATCGACGAGATCTCAAAAATTCTTGAGCGACTGTCTTTGTGTCATCCCTATTGGCGTTCCGGTGTCAGACAGACGTGGTTACCCTCGCCATGTTTTTTCTTTCAGCGATATCCCGGCAGTGAGTGGAAATGGATTGGGAAAGACTAGTGATGGGAAGGCTTGCAACGACCACCTAAAAGCGGACCAGGACATTAATGGAAGAAGAATGGGTTAAGCAGTGAGCATATCTTGATGGTTGTGGTCACAGCTTCCTGTATTCCATAGTTCCAATTGATTGCATGATTAGATGAACCCGTTTTCAATTTTCCTTGTTTAGAGGTCCAATCTGTAGAAGAGGAGGTTCACGCCATCCTCGTGCCTCGCTATGTACCTCGCAAGTTTGAAGATATGTGGGTCGAGTGAGGGCGGGCGCCAAGCGACCTTCTCTGGACCCCTGCACCAGCTGCTTGTCCCCAAGAGGAAATTCCGCAAATCGCAATGGAACATGCTGTCCACTCTGATGCTGCTTCGCTTTCACCACCTTTGACAGACTGGCAATCCACGAGCAAAATGTCGCCGTCTGCCGATATGACAAGCATTCCACTATCTTGATAAACTATTTATATCGCCTACCCGAGTACTGACTCCGTTCACCCGCTTCGGAGGCGCTGTGCGCTCGCCCCCCTTCAGCCTCTCCCTGTGCCCTTCCACCTATTACGCATACACTCCTGGCAAAAGATCTTTCCTTCCTCCCCAGCTACTCTCCCTTACGATATAGTAATCGACTATGGCCGTCAAATCGCGGTTTCACCGGCTAGACGCGTTTACAAAGACTGTCGAAGATGCGAGGGTGCGGACGACCTCCGGTGGTATCGTGACGATTGTCTCGATCCTTATTATTCTCTACTTGGTGTGGGGAGAATGGAGCGACTACAGGAAGATTCTGGTTATGCCAGAGCTGATTGTGGACAAGGGACGAGGTAAGAAACCCCCGAATCCAGGGTCGACAGTCGCAGGTGTTATTTTAGAGGAAGATACACAAATCGAGGTGCAGTTGCTGACCTGGTGTTTGCGGTCTACGTAGGCGAAAAGATGGAAATCCACCTCAACATCTCCTTTCCTCGCATCCCTTGCGAACTCCTCACTCTCGATGTCATGGACGTCTCGGGCGAGCAGCAGACGGGCGTCGTCCACGGTGTCAACAAAGTACGCCTTTCCTCCATCGCCGAGGGTTCCAAGGTCCTCGACACAACCGCCCTGGTCCTGCATAACGAGCAAGACAACGCCGCGCACCTGGATCCAGATTACTGCGGCTCCTGTTACTCGGCCCCTCCGCCGGCCAATGCCTCGAAGCCGGGCTGCTGCAACACGTGCGACGAAGTGCGCGAAGCCTATGCCTCCAACAGCTGGGCGTTCGGACGGGGCGAAGGCGTGGAACAATGCGAACGGGAAGGTTACGGTGAAAGACTAGACGCACAGCGCCAGGAGGGGTGTCGTATCGAGGGCGTCCTCCGGGTGAACAAAGTCGTGGGAAATTTCCACATTGCACCCGGTCGCAGCTTCTCCAATGGAAACATGCACGTGCACGACTTGAACAATTACTTCGACACGCCTGTCGAGGGTGGACACACGTTCACACATGAAATCCACTCGCTGAGATTCGGCCCGCAGCTGAGCGATGATGATAGGGGAGTAACGGCGAAGTGGAGTGATCATCACCATGCGAATCCTTTGGACGGCGTGAAGCAGGAGACGGGGGAGCCGGGGTTCAACTTTATGTATTTCATCAAGGTGGTGAGCACGAGTTATCTGCCGCTCGGGTGGGATGAGGATCGGAGTGTGAAACAGCACTCGTCCCTCGCGGATCTGATACCGCTGGGCATGCAGGGCAAAGGCGCTGGGAGCCAGGGCTCGATCGAGACGCATCAGTACTCTGTCACATCACACAAGAGATCTCTGAGCGGTGGAAACGATGCGGCCGAGGGACACAAGGAGAGACTCCACGCGCATGGAGGGATCCCCGGCGTCTTCTTCAGTTACGACATCTCCCCGATGAAGGTGATCAACCGCGAGGCGAGGCCTAAGACATTTGCCAACTTTTTGACGGGTGTTTGCGCGGTGGTGGGAGGGACGCTGACGGTGGCGGCTGCGATTGATAGGGGACTGTACGAAGGGAGCACGAGGTTGAAGAAAGTTCATCAGGGGTGACATAGAGAGAGAGTAGAGTGGTCCTTTTGGGAGGAAAATATGACGGAGCCATTTTGCATCCAGCATGGGCGTTGTACGGTAGCATTGCCTGCGCGGACATACGGCAGAAACGTGTGCCTATATCCAAAGAAAAGAAAAGAAAACGGGCTTTTTGACTCCTATTTCTTGAAATATTGGGCCAAAAAAAAGGCGGCCAGTTCGAGCACTCGAAGTTCCAGTGTTCGATTCTTTCTTAACCCTCCTTTGCCCTTTTCCGGGGGTTGTGCGTTCCCTCTTCAGGTTCAGCACGACCGCCTAGCCTAGAATGCCACAAAAGATGGGTTAGCAAAGACAGTTCAAAAAGGATATAGAGTGATCCTTTTTTGACCCGCAAAGTGAAGCAACAGAAGAAGAGGAAGAGAACAAAGACTTTGTCTCTATTCTTCCTTTCTTTTTGTAATTCAGAAAAACCAGTTTCTAAGCATCGACGCCACGCAAGACCCCTCCCGCAAGAAGAAGCAAAAAACATTTGACGATGTTTTTTTTTTTTGGTTTCTTTCCTCTTCCGTCCTTCCCTTTCCAAAAGAGGAAGAGATGTGGGTTAGAAGATGGAGCGGGGGGTTTTTGCGAGCATTCCTTTTCCGGCTCTTCCTAATGCCGTGAGGTTTGTTGTTCATCATGTTTTGGCTTTGGAGGGATTGAAGAAAGAAGGGGGCCACAGGGAGGATTTTGTGCGAGGTGATGAAGGAGACATACACACACCGCACCCACGCTGGAGGAAGGGGAGAAACGTACCTCACCAGAAGGATTCCTTTACGGTCGCGCTTCGAAGTCAATCTCACATAGGTGATTGGTTGTTCAGATGGCCATCTGACAAGAAAATACAAGGCGTTGCATGTTTGAAGATACGTGGCGATCAAGACCCTCAAAGGTGCGTGATGGAAGTTGTCGTGAAATGTAGGAGAAGACGGAATTTATGAGGTGCCTTTTTTTTAATGCTGAATATTGGCTTTGCCTTATTAGGAAAGGTTGTTTTGGTTCTTGATCTAACCTGATTTAGCATACGTCAATAGACGGTATGTAAGGGATTTTGAACATGCATGACATGTCATGCTTGTCTTGTCCTCTGCCGTTGCTTAAGAGGATGTCGATGGCGTTGTCGAAAGAATGAGGATATTTCTTTTCAATTTCCCCCAACTAGAAGATGATACTGTGGTCTCGAGTCACGCCAACTGCAGTTGGACGACTGTACGATATCCTTCGTCCGCGACTCGTTGCTCTCAGCCAGACTTCCCAGTTCTCATTCCAAGACCTCCCTGCTTTCTAGCTGTGCTCCGACGTCTTACTAACCCACTCTATAGCCACAATATCATCGGCAGGAGCTTAAAGAGGCATCTCAACCCGGTCCTTGTCGCCTGCCGAGCAGCAAGTCAACCCAGTCAGCGGGAGCACAGGAGCGATTCGAGCTTCGGCTCTACACACACAGCGCTCGTGTTCTACTTGCGAGACATCAAAAAAGCATGACAGCATATGGTAGTACTTTAAGCTCAAGCGACTTACGAGTCGACCAGTGCTTTTGACCTTTTTCTGCCGACACTGTGGAATGAAAAGTGGCGGGCTAGGTAGGCAGTACGCCAGAAATAAGAAACCTCACACTCCCTTAACATAACGGTGAGAAGATTTCATTGTTGGGGCTGATGTACTCGCGGCACCCCCGTTATGATTGTGCATACTTGATACGGGTTGCACTTTCACCCAGGCGACCCCGCCCCCGATATTTAACCAAGGTTTTACCAAATGCATCGAGTTGCCTAGGTCCAGCGGCACTACCGGCGGATAGCGGGGAGGAGGTCGCCTCTGAAGCCAAAGAAGCTAGGTATCTTTGTAACGATCTACGGGGCCTGAAATACTCCTATAAGTACGACGCAAGGATACGGGTATCGCAGAAGAAGAGGGCAGCTTGTGTTGACAGCCAGGAGACTCTCTCAGGAAGAATATAGACGTCGCTCTTATTCAGCTTGGATTTGTCGAGGCAACTAGAATTGACATCCGCGCAGAGAACAGCTGCGTCGCATAATACGTCGCCGTCACGATGAACGGGCATTTGGATGCATCCAGCCTGAAGGACAGGTCAGTCATTGTCACAGGTAATTCCTCGTCAGCGCATCTTGTCATATCAAAACCCTGATGAAAACTACAAGGAGGGGCTTCTGGCATCGGCCTCGCAGCCGTCACACGCTTCGCGGAAGGTGGAGCCTATGTCACCATCGCAGACGTTCAAGATGCTCTCGGAAACAAAGCGGCTGCTGATCTCAACGCCAAGGGCTGTCATGTCTCCTTCGTCCACTGTGACACAACCGACTGGGAATCGAGTGTGGCGGCATTCAAACATGCTGCTTCCTTTGGACCAAACAGATCTCTGGACGTGGCCTTGCTGAATGCTGGTGTAGGAGGTGACAGAGGTAGCTTGACAGACCAAGTGCTGGCAGCTCCTGAGCCTTCATTGGATCCCGACGTTATTCCAACCCGTCCGAGCCGCAAAGGAGCCGCTGTGAACTTCCTGGGAGTATATGACAATTGCTGGTTGGCGTTGCACTATATGCGTCTGCCCTCGCAGGTCGAACCAACAACCACACCGCAAAAATCAATAATCCTTACTGCTTCTCTGGCAGCTTATGCTGACATGCCGGCCTCTTCTGATTATAATGCTTCAAAGTGTGAGTACACTTCTCTGTTACAACAGTTGCTGCACAAATTTGTGAGATGGAATGATTGCTGAGTGAGGCGTGGTCCGTCCCACTTGCTGTGCCCCCCCCCCTCCCCAACGGGGCCAGGAGACGACAGGACTCTTCCATAGAGCGAATCCGAATGACGTGTTATAAGCGATTCAACTCGCTTTCATGAGTGCATAAGAAACTTTGACACTGACTCAGTGTGATAGTTGGCGTCCGAGGCCTTTTCCGAGGGCTCCGACATACAACCGCTGCGCTCAATGTCCGGGTCAACCTGCTCGCGCCTTACTGGATCAACACGCCCCTCGTTCAGTCAGCCCTACCCGCGTTGGAGGCAAGAGGGTTGAAGCCAGGTCAAGGATTGTCGTGGGCTAGCATCGATGATGTGGTCGATGCCATAATTAGATCCGCTACGGACCCGAGTGTTGGCGGTAAAGCTTGGGCAATTTGGCCAGAAGGCTACATTGACATGGGAGAGGACGAGGCTGGGGGTTGGGCAGGCGATCATTTGAGGAAGCACTGGGAAATCCAGAGACAGAAGGGTGATAACATGCTGTAAGAGTTCGAGAGTCCCCCGTCCCGGCCCGACCTTGTCTTGATGGATCCTGCGGGAAAGGAGTGCGAGGCAGGGCGTGGTTCCCGTGAGCTGGAGGAAGGCCACCAAGTAGTTACCGTCCGCACACAAGTTCTATTCTGAATCAAAACATTGTTCGCTGTCCATCATCGTAGATCGGAATTCTCATCAGCCGAAGGTGCGAAGTGCACGCGACTACCTAAGCGAGTGGATAGATGAGGAACCCCACCACATCGCGACACGGGATCATTGAATATGCATAGGAAAGAAATGTGGTCAAATGTCGTGGTCCACAAATACACAGAGATACAAGTACTGACGTAGGAACGTTAGCTGAGAAGTGTGGCTCGGGAAGAGTCGATCCTTGGTTGATCCTTGTCGCAAGTCAACGGGCAAAGTCCGGTTAATTAAACAATCCAACACGTCTAATGTGGCATTTCGACATGCGGCACTCTGATGTCGACCAGTTTTCCCATTCCTCACACTTTGAGCGCCTGCATTTGGGCTATAGCCTTGTTTCGCTCTAGTTTTCGGCTTTTCTAATTTCAAGCCAGGCGCAAGATTGCCGGCCAGTGAAGCACTTACGTGAGCGAAAAGAACCCCGTTCTCGCAGCCCATATGCCTGTCAATGGGGTTCAGCACGAGGAGGATTTGCTAGATTCAGGTAACTTGGTCATAGCGGTCCATATGGTGGTCTTGTGCTGACCTGTGGGAAGACAATTATGACCCTATCGAACACCTCGATCAGATATTCTCACACCCTTCGACCCTCTCGTCGGTCAGACAGACCTTCGAAATCCTCCAAGCCTATCAAGATGACCTTGACGACGAAATCGAGGCTCTCGAAGACGAGCAGATACAGTCAAACGCAGAATGTCTGCAGCGAATGGAAGCCTCGAAAGCCGAGCTGGCGGAGTTGTTCCAGCGCATCGAGAGTGTCCGGGAGCGGGCACTGCGGACCGAGCGAAACATCACCGAGATGACGGCGGATATTAAGCAGTTGGACAATACAAAGAAGAATCTCACGCTTTCGATGACAGCGTTGAAGAGACTGCAGATGTTGACGACCGCCTATGAACAGCTGCGGGCCATGAGCAAAACGAGACAGTACAGAGAATGCGCGCAGCTCCTGCAGGCGGTGATCCAGCTCATGGCGCACTTCAAATCCTACCGGTCAATCGACCAGATCGCGACGTTGAGCAGGAATGTAGCAGATATACAGAGAGAGTTGCTGGAACAAGTGTGCGAGGACTTCGAGATTACCTTCAGCAAGGAAGAGGTGGCTCAGAAACGAGGACTGCTTCACGAGGCGTGTTTGGTAGTCGATGCTCTGGGTGATGCTGCCCGGTCACGGTTGACCACCTGGTATTGTAACACGCAACTTCGTCAGTATCGGCATATCTTCAAGGGGGACCAGGAGGCGGGATCGCTTGACAATATTGATCGGAGGTACGCGTGGTTCAAAAAGACGCTCAAGATATACGACGAGGAACATGCTGCCATCTTCCCTCCGCACTGGCGGGTCAACGAGATCCTTGCCAACGTCTTTGCTGAAGGAACAAGAGAAGACTACAAGGGCATCTTGTCTAGGACTACCCGCAACGGTCAGACCATTGATGTCCAGCTGTTGTTGTCATGTTTGCAGCAAACTCTGGACTTCGAGCACGCTCTCGAAAGGAGATTCAATCAAACGTCAAGAACCTCCATCGATACCATGGCATCAGCCAGTGACACACCAGTCTTTGGCCAGCCGATCTCGGACGCGTTCGAACCGTATCTGAGCTTGTGGGTGGAAGCACAGGATAAAGAACTTGCGGGTCTGATACCGCAATACAGGCAGCGGCCGACCAAACTTGCGGATGAAGATTTCTCCTCACAACATGTTATTGCCTCGTCGACAGAGCTGTTCAACTTCTACCGACACTCCCTCGCGCAATGTGCGAAGCTCTCCACGGGACAGCCCCTGCTCGACTTGTCCAAGGTTTTTGGCCGCTATCTTGACCAATATGCGCAGCAAGTTCTGCTGTTCTATATCTCCGAAAAACCAACAGGCGGCACCCCTTCTCGAATACCCTCTGTCGAAGATGTCATTTTGGTTCTCAACACGGCGGACTACTGTTTCCAGACTTCGAATTCTCTGGAAGAAAAGATCAAGAGTCGCATAGACGATGCGTTGAAGGATAAAGTCGATCTACAGAGCCAAGCAGATGCCTTCATGGGCATAGCGAGTGCGGCAGTTCGAGGTCTGGTCCGTCGTGTGGAAGTCGACTTGGAACCCAGCTGGCGTGAGATGCGAAACATGTCCTGGTCAAAGATTGAAATCGGAGAACATCAAAGCCCCTACATAACAGGTCTAGAGAATCGGATCAAGGACCGTTCCAGTGAGATCTTGGGCATGCTTCATAAACAACAGTATGCGCGGGCATTCGCAGATAATCTGGTCGAGCTGTTGGCGTCAACGTATGTGGCTAACATTGCCCAATGCAAGCCCATCTCAGAAGGCGGCGCTGAGCAGATGTTGCTCGACACTCACGCCATCAGGAACACCCTCACCCAGATACTTCCGGGTACACCGCCGCCACTTTTCCTCAAACGTGTCACTGCTGCTTTTGGCAAGATTGAGCCGCTGTTAAAAACCCTACAAGTCCGACCATCACCCCCAGAGGCCCTCGTCCAAGCATACCTGATTCACATCTCCGACCTCTCGGAAGTCAACTTCCGCAAAATCCTCGAATTGAAAGGCATCCGCGCAAAGTCAGAACAAAACCACTTGGTTGAATTATTTCAGATGCACAAGTTCAGCCCACGGTACAAGGACACACTAGTGGAGAAGTCACCCCTGCTTACTCCATTGAACCTGTCAGCATCCGGTACGTCCACTGGGACTGCGGTAACACCAGCAGGTGCTCTCCACAACCTTTCGGCATTGGGTAACTCTGCGGCGGCGTCACTGAGCACGGCAAATATACCAGCGAACATGAAATTCGATGCTTCTGGACTGGGCAACGCAATCATTGACCGATTCAGCAGCCCCGGTCTAGGCACGCCTCGAGACGGAGCAGTAAGCCCACCGCCAACTGGAACAGGCATGCACACCACAGGCGATGGGGGCTTCTCCGGTGCAGAGGCCGGGGCAAAGCTGAATGAGAACTTGAAAAACATTGGAAAATTCTTCAAGAGGGACCTGGGTGGGTTTGGGGGCATAGGTCGATTCGGCAGTAGTAAAACCACGAGTCCGGCTCCTCCTGAAGACCGCGCAAACCACCGATAGGATACCAAGAATGAAGCGAGTAACTGAGTGAAAAAGTTAGTTGAAGGGGTTTCAATGGATTCATAATTGCACAGCCTCCGAAAACAATGCGAATGGGTCAATGCGGCATCAACCACGACTCCAAGGGTCGATCCATTGTTTACAGTGTCTGCGTGTCTGAGGGCTTTATGGAAAAGGGGCATAATGGACAACGATGACCAAAAACTGACCAATAAGAAACCCCAGCCTACCAAAGACGATTGCCAAGGACAGGCATCAACTGTTCCTAAAATTGACTAGCGTAAATCACGTGAATCTGCCTGACAGAGAGAGTGGGTCTCGCCTTTTTGCTTGATTCCGCCTACAAAAACTTCCCTTGTTCCCTCAACAAGCGACGGCAACCATCGCTTTTGTCAGTAGATTGATCTCTTGCCAAATCCTTTGTCATACCGTCTTCTTTAATCACTCGCTCTCACTGTCACTCTTCGAATCCGACTATATTCACCATTTGGCTGTGTCACTTGGACATACCGAGTACCTAATATACCCTTGGCAAATAATCCACCACATACAAATCTTCAAGCCACATTCCACCAATTACCGCATCAATATCCCGAATCTCGGTCAGCTACATGCACAGACGCTGCCTTCAAGTCCATCGTTGAGGGAGTCTACTTACCGAGGGGTTTCGAGTGGTTGTTGAACAGCCTCGCCTCTCGTGCATCATCAGCTCATTCGTTCGACTCGGCCACATTTCAGAGACAAAAGTTCGGATTTGTCTAAAGACTAGGACCATCCACGCCATTTGAATCATTACCTACAGCAGCCATTCACCACTTGACCGCCGTTCGCTTGGTCGTTCTGGGTCAGAGCGTTCACAATGGCGTTTGGTAGATCCGGGGATCCATCACAAGGCAATCAGTCCGCGGCGACACGGGACTTGGCGATCAAGGGATGGACCAACTCGAAACTCGCATCCACACCAGACCAGGGAGTTGCCTCGTTACTGGTGTTCCTCCGCAAGAAGTCTGGAGATCGCCAAATATTGTCCAACAAAGTCGTCGGCCGTGCGAGCAACGTCCTCATCATCACCGTCTATGAAAACGACAAAGATCGATTTTACCATTTAAACAATTTCCAGTGGGCTGGCAGTACTCTTACTGTCGAAGACTCAAGATCGCCCACCAACAATATCAATCGATTTCAGCAAAACCAGGCCCATGACCGGTCTCAAAATCATCACCCTCCCTCTCAACCATCTCAGCCATCAAGATCTGCTTTTGGCCAGAATGGCTCAACACCACACGGTCGTTACAACCAGCTACCCAGCGGACCTCGAGGCGGCGGAAACACTCACTACAACCAACCTCGAAACAACACACGCTTTGGTGCCCAAGATAACAGCAATAAGAACGACCCTCTCACAAACGAAGTTGAAAATACCATGATCTCCGTCCTACGCAGACGCTACGACCCTTCTCTGAAACTCCTAAGTCTGAACGCCCTCGGTGCCGATGAGGAACTCCTACAAATACCTGGAATACTCGGTTCGGATCCTGCGAAAGTCTTTGAGGCCATCTTTACTATCTGCAAAACCAAAATTTTCGAAACCCCCAGCAAACGTGACGAGTCGGTCCACAGCATTACACTTAGCGACAACGGTCTCGACACGGTTGAACAGATCATGTCTTTGTCAAGAACCTTTCCGCGCCTCCGAAATCTCGATCTCGGCAACAACAAACTTGCGAGCATGGATTCGTTGAAGTATTGGAAGAACCAATTTCGTGATCTGGAGCATTTGATCTTGCAGGGCAACCCGGTCAACGATCTCCCAGATACATTGCCGACCCTGCGGCAGTGGTATCCAAAGCTGCAATTGTTCAACAACCTGCCCGTCGGCGACAATCGACCCATAGCTCCCAATGTCCAACAGCCGCCCTTCCAAGCCAACCCACCATTGCCTCTCCCGGCACAAGCTGTACCGGTGGTGGCCGGCCGCCTGCCGCACCCCGAGATCCCGGCAGACTCTCTCTTCGGCGTTCCCCAAGCAGACAAGCCTGCGGAAATCCTCGAACGCGAGAAGATGGGGTTGCAGTTCAGTTTCGAGACGAAACTGAGGCTGGCTGCGGTGGAGGAGTGCCTGACAGCCAATAACTGGGACTACGCTCTAGCCATGAAGAACTTCCTGGAGCTGAAAGCGCAAGGCGCCATCCCGGCGGAGAAGTTTATACCCGGTGTTTAGGAAACCTTCGTGGACAATGGAGGTGACGCGGTCATGTTGGACATGGAGGATTTTTGAAGACGATGTTATTATTATACAGAATGGGCCTTTGAGCATGGCGCTCGTTTGGATAGCATTTTTAGCATGACTTTTGCTCTTCGGAGCAGGACCCCGAAGGAGGGCGAATCGCATTGTTATTGTACATCTGTCACTGTTAGTGTTTCATCATTGTCTTCTATTAATCGCCCGTTATAGCGGAACTTTTGTGGCGTAACAAAACTGGCTTTTCGATACCAATACCTTTCTTCATGCGTGGTCGGCGTGGTCGGATAATAGATTTCGTGTAGCTTGCCGTCAACGTTTCGGTGCGCTCGGGCCCAGAGTTACGAGGCTTTCGGTATCGATTTGTCTTGACTCGCCAATGAGATCCGTCCCAAATAGGCCGACGGACTATCTTGAACTCCAATCGTCTGGAGAAACGTGGCCTGGATGGACGGGAGTTACGAATTGATCAAGAAGTTTCACATGTGAAAATCCAACGTCATGGTGGGCAAGTCAGAGTACACCTCGACACACCATCTTGCGGTGATCGATTATTCCACCTCCAACTCCACCAGGGTCACTTTCTATCATTGGCACATGTGCGCGCCTTAATGTCAGGAACCCGGACGCGTACCTGCGTCCTCCCTCCCCGTCCCATCCTGCCTGGTTCCCTGCTCCCCAGCACTCTTCTTCTCTTCTCTTCCCAACCGTGTATGACTGTCGCCCTCGATCCTTCATGGAGCACGACGTGAAGCCCGTTCCTCGTCGCATCCTCTACACCGCCTTCTCGGCCTGTCGTTCCGGCCGCCCTGCCCTGCGAGATGCTTTGGAGTTCGCACAAAGAGAATGCATCTGCCTCTGAAGATGAAAAAACTGTTGGGGACTCAGATGACGATGCCCCAAAGGAAATTGTTCTTGCGCAGCCGCAACAGGGACGGACCCTTCTGCCTGCGCCCGCGGCCGCGATTGTCAGTGGCGTCACCGGCCTGACTTCGTTCTATGTTCGTGGTGCAACCAAGATTGGCGGTTGGGGACTTTATGCTGGCAGAGAGGCTACACTCAAAACACTTTCCGTCAGTCGCAGTGCACTGGAGTCTATCCTGATTGCAGCGGGACGAGATGTCTCTACGCGAAGCAATGGCGACCTGGGACGGGCGGAAGCTGAGAATCTGCTGGAGAGGAGTGTACGTTTGAGTATCGGTATTGGATGAATGACACGGGGCTAATATCGTCACAGATCTCTGCGTTGCATTCGACCATCTCAACGACGTCTTTTGTCGCCTCGACAGGCTTCCACCTCACAGAAGCGTTTATGAACTCAATATCCGGTCTATCTATCCAAGGACTGGCTACACTGAATGCCATTCTCGGCTCTACTGAGTCCTCCCGTGCCGTCGCCGCAATCATCACCTTGATCAGAGATGAACTCAACAAGCCCGAGATCGGTGGAACTGGCGAGGTGGTGACATACCTGGACCTCATTATCGCCACCATCGGTTTTGTGATGCTCCAGAGGTGGGGAAGACGGAAGACGGAGCTGGATTTCCGGGACGCTGGTGGTGAAGAGACTATTTGGGACGCGGTCATTGATGACAAGGGCTTTCGAGCCGATGTCGTGGGGACACGGAAGAAAGGCATGATCAGTATCCACGCCAATACTGGTGGCCCGCCAGTCACCTTTACTTCTCCAGATTGTGATGAAGATTTTGAGGCCTTGGAAAGGGGAACGGTGTTTGATGCTCAAGCGGTCGCACTGTCAGCGGAGAACCAGACAAAGCTGACCGAAGAAGACATTCGCGAGCGGATCATCAGCCAAATACCATCTGGAGCCCGGGCCGTGATCACATCGGAGACCATCACCGCCAAAACAATCCGTGTCGACATATACGATGCTGAAACGGCCCATATTGACCCTCCTCCGGGAACCATTATGGTGGCAGAAAGGCTGAACCATGAAAGCTCGACAAATGGCAACCAAGTTGGACCTCATCAAACTGTCATATTTCGCACGTCTTTGAAGCGATCGAGCAGTAGGGAGAAACCATCGTCGAATGAGCCACTGCGATTGACCGGTCATAACGGCTTAGGTCAAGACCACCACGACACCGACGACTTGTTCATGATGGCTACCGCCCCGAAACGAATTTCTATCGTGGATGAACCGATCCAGATAGATAACGGTACTTTCTCCAATTCGGACCGCGATGAGTCGGCAATCGAATCATCCTCACCACCAACCTCTTCTCCTCCAAAATTGCTAGGCCCTGTTGCCAATCAGAAAAAGAGTCGTCGGCCAGTTCTCAGTTCAAGCAAGTCATCTGCCAATGCAAGCAGTACCAGTCGTATACCACTTGTCAAAGGTAAAAAGGACAAATCAAGTTCAGGTGTGAAGAGTGATAAAGCTGGCGTCATCAAGAAAGCACTGATGACGCTGAGTCCGAGTCAGTCGTCGGCGGCGGTAAAGGATCTCCCAAAAGTAACACCACGGCAACCAAAATCCTCGACCTCAGTGGCAGCACAGTCGCCCAGATCTAGGGCGCCTTCGGCCAATCGCGAAGACGCCACATCAAGGAGAACTTATGCTTCGTTGACCCATGGCAATACGCCCCTGACAAGTCCGAGTTTACATCGAGCCACCGAGTCATCAACAAGCTATTTTGCCGTGCACGACCGGAGAAGAGACTCTATTGTCTCGCAGACCACAGAGACATATTCTATCCATTCGCACGAGAGTCGACCAAGCTCCCCCACCTTCACA